GTGACTCATTCTGATGTCATTCATGAACGATTACACGATGATCCACGGCGGCGTGAAGAGTGGCGCTGTGGATCATTGTTCCACATCATCACGTTCAGAAAAGTGTCTGAAGGTTAAAAAGACGTTATGACATCAACAGTGAGCAGAGACATCGTGCTGCAGAATCCTCCTTCAGCACGACTTCATGAATTAAAGAGTAGAAGAACAAAAGTTCAAAGTCTGTCGTCTGTATTTCAGGGTTCAGTTTGAACACATTTACTGTAAAGACTCGTCATCTTCTCATCTCTGCATGAAGCTGCAGCTGTTCTACATCAAACAATTCTAACGTTTCCACCAAGCGGTCCGGTTCAGTTGGAGAGTACCAAAATAACCGATCTGCTCCGACCATCACAAGAGGTGTGAGGAGGTCTGGACTCTCAGACTGGTGTTGCACTACAGATCGGTCTCACCGGTCCGGACCGATCTTTCTAAAACAACAAATACAACAAGTTTTTTGGGGGGTTTGGTGCCTCGGCGGTGCTCAGGAGGTGGACTGGTACCTCTCCAGCTACCAGACGAATCTCTTGACTTGGTCTGTGCCGGGACTTAAGCCGGCGACCCTCTGGTTCCCAACCCAAGTCCCTACAGGCTGAGCTATTGCCGCCCTTATGGCTGCAACCTTCCCGGTGTGACGGTCTCAGTGAGGGATACAAGATGATGATGTATCAGAGATATTTATGGTCTTGGTCTTTGCTCAGTCTCGACCCCTAAATGTCTTGGTCTTGGTCTTGGTTAGTCTGCTCTTGACTCACACACAGAGGAGTTGTGCAGAGTCTCTCTCGTCTGCAGTCAGTGAGGAGAAAGTGAATCGTCAGAGTCGTCTTATCGACGTCTCGATGATCGTTCTGCTTTTTGTCTGAAGACACTTCGACAAAGAGGACGAGGTGAGTCACTCTGATCTGAAACAATCGCACAATAACCCAAGACAGGAAGTGAAGAACCCTGAGCCGTGAGTCACGTCTTCTTCTCTGGTGGAGTTACAGCACGAGTCATTAATCATTTAAAGAATCAGAACATCACTCTCTTTTAGGACGTTTTGACTGAATGTGACTCATCTGAGTACGAGATGATGGACGAGGTCACGCTGCCGCTCGGTGAGATCCAGCTCATAAAAACAAACAGAGATAAGAAAGACAATGGACTGATTGAGTGTGTGTACGAGATAAGATAAGAGAGGACTCTACAGTAATTGTTAAACTGACTTTTAAAGAATATTTCTCTCAGAAGAAGCCGAGAGGTCACCAGAGGTCACAAAAACAAAAGAAGAGTCATCGGAGTGAAATAATCGCAAACGATGGGACACCAGTGCAGGAACAAACGAGTGACGTCACTCAGGCTTCAAACATTCATATTTACAGTCGATGAGCGCAACATATCTCAGTGTGATCGTGACCTTTGGGAGGTCTCCTCATGTCATTGAGCATATTTTGAGCCACTGCTGTGGTTTAAATTTTGTCGGCCCTTGAGGGCCCCCTACTGGTCTGGGGCCCCAGGTAGTTGCTTGCCTTGCCTGTTGACAAGCAGCAGCTCAAAACTTTTAAAACAACACAAATTTTATTTAAAAAGAGAAATCACTGACCTGTAGAAAAATACTTTTAAAAAGTCTGATTTGTCATATTTTGTTCACTCGGTTCATTTCTTTTTGGTTTTCCGTTCAATCGAGCCGATCCTTGAAGAAACTCGTCCGCATGGTAAACCACTTTGTGCTCATAAAGAATTAGTTTTTTGTCTGTATAATTAGCACCAGATTACAGAAACTCCCTTCAAAGTTACAAGCTATTTATTGGCTCATAAAGCAGCGCCATTGTTTCATTTCCTGCCATAAAATAAAAAATCTATGAGCTGTTTGAAAGACTTTTTCACCTCGTAACAATCAAATGAAATGCTGAATGTTTTCTGTTTACAACTGAGGGACTGGAGAGGAAGTATGTCAAGGATAAACGGGTCAGTAAGGGTAGCGGGTTTGGACTTCTTTATTTGGTTTATCTGAAATCTTCTTCACTGCTACTCTCTGCTCTGATGAGGGGACAGTCTGCACTGCCACCTGCTGGCCGAACAATGGAACAGCATGTTCTGTATATCAGATATAACCTGGAGCTCTTTTCATATTCACAATAATTTAAAAGTATTTATTGTATGGGATGTTTGATGTTTTCTAACTTTCAGCTCTTCGGCTGAGTTTGAGTAACGCTCTCATTGAGTGTGTGATTGGTTTTGTCCGTCACAGACTCTCTGGCGCCCTCTGCTGGATAAATAAGAGCTGCATTTCCTTTTCCTCCAACCTTTAAGTCACTTTACACTTGCATGCAGGCGTAACACCCACTTGTCAGTTTGAGTGGACTCTATATTCCACTTTAACTCAAACAGGTGAAGTTCAGCTGAGAGAGAAGGTGTGCCTGTGTGCACTGCCAGTAAAATGACTCTCTGGTTTATGGCCTCATCACACACACACACACAGACA